CCAAACAAAACCCCTGCGCGAATCCTGATTCTTCGATTACTTGGATTCAGTATAGAATAGCAAATTGCAGTGATGGTGGGTCCCGTTCTTACCGGGTCTTTGTTGGCCTTGCTCTTGGCCTTCTTGCCCCTACCGCCACTGCCGGTCTTCTCTATCTTGCCCCCTACGCCGTAGGCGTAATCCCCCTTGGGCCGCCAGGTGGTTCCGATGTGCCTCTTGAACGCCTTCGACATCCCGATGCACGCAAACTGCCGGATAAGGTCCTGGCAGTCATTCGGGGACGAAGGGAAGGAGGAGGGGGAGGAGGAGGGGCGTAGGGGGGTCACCACCGAAAACAGTCATGCATCATGGCCCAAAAAGTACTTCGTCGGCAAACTGATCATTTTGAAAAAAGAAGGGCGACACCAAAGGACGGCAACGAAAACCTTACACCGCCATGCGCACCGCTCGTGTGCTCGCGAGGGATACTGTGTGAGACCCGCGAGCAAACAGCAGCCGCCAAGTATCCCGAGAACCAAAAAAAAACGGAAGATACGCGTGCCACGGGCTGCGTATCAAACAAATAATTCGTGTGTGCTAGAAAACAAACACATTCTAGATGCACCCCATACATCTGGGACAAACTACCAAAAAAACAAGCAAAGAACAACGCATTCTTGGAGGCATGACCGCATACATCTGGGCAAACAACAACAAAAACACGATCTAGGAAAGCAAAGTGCATAGATGAGGCAATGTACCTTCTTGTCCCTCATGCGTAGCTCGATTGCTTCCAGGAGAGCCTTGGGCAGCACCGTGGCATCTTTGTTGACGAGCTCAATCAAGCCCTTCACCGCCGCGCTGCGAACCTGGGGAGGTGCCGGGAGCATGCGAGTTGAGACGGAACGCAGGAGGCAAATCACCGTGGTGTGTGTTATCGACCCATGCACAAGTGAACGCGCGAGCACCGACGGTCACGGCTGGAAGCGGTCGTTGCACGCACGCGCGGAGCAATGAGGCGCCCGCGACATGGTGCATAGCTGGAGGCGGTGTTTCCACGGTGGCCTTGTGGCAGCATAAAGGCGACACGAACCAACGGTGTATGCACGCACCCTTGCTACACACGACGCAGCGGCGGCAGCGCCAAATCGAGCAACACCGCCCGCCATGATCCAAGGCTTCAATCTCAACAGCAGGAGCAGCAACGCATCAAGACGATAGCAACACAACCACACTCACCTTCACTCACCTTCTCACTCCTACACCAGTAACACCTCTCAAAACCCCATGCAACGACTATCCCGAGCCACGGACAATTCCCAACACCACGCCATTCAACCCCTCACCGCCCTCCCCCTGCATGACCAGAAGCGCGAGCACCGTTCCCCCCCCCTCGGTGTTTGCCATCGGGGTTGGGTTTTCGTCGTTTGGCAACGACGTTGTAAAACAAGCCGCCGCCCCCGGTGTTTGCTATGGGGATTGGGTTTTCGTCGCTTGGCAAAGACGTTGTAGAACAAGCCAATTCACTTCGTGAACTCGGCAACCAGGTTACCGTTTTTTTTTTTTCCTCCGTTTTTTTTTTGGCGGTAACCATAATGGCTGTCTCTTATACACATCTAGATGTGTATAAGAGACAGG